ACATAACTAATCGTAACAATAGATTGTTATAAATAAAGTACCGGTCTGCTGGTTGATCGAAAAAACAAAGTACTAAATGCGTCGACGTAATTCAGCAGAACGTAATTATTCGTTCGGACCCACCTCAATGATCATAACTGTAAGTTGCTATCACCTAACTTCATTTTCACGGGTTTCCGCGAGATCGCGTGTCTGTACATCAGTACTTTACATAATGATCGCCGGTATATTAACAATTCGTCAACATCCGGTTATATGCTCACTTATTGTACGTCGATGGCTTTAACATCATAGACCAGTCGACGATGAAATGATTAAGATTCTTACTTTCCAGGCCACTAGGGAGACGAAGTATCGTTCTCGCAAAATATTTCGAAAGTAAATGTTAAATTTTTGGATAGTACATGACATGTGTGTCTGTAAAAACTGTATCACTCTTTTCCGTCTAACGGTCTGTCGCTCCGCTTATCCTTAACCCCATTTATAGCTGGAAAAGTTCCCATCGGATTTTGATCAAATTGACACAAACTTACTATTATGTCAAGGAAAAAAGCGTGTTTGTAAATTGATTTTGTGGCGGCAGATCCGCGATCAAAAAACGAAAAGCATGTAGATCGCTCAAATTTCGATTCTTGGCTTGTCACGGACCATTCTGTGAAAAAATGCTTGGAGGGAAACAGACTGTTGGTGGGAAATTTGCTAGTGGTGGATGCGGGCGTATCTCGCTTGTATGACGTTAGTTTATTCATACGCTTCTAGCCTAGGTAATTCTATGCACCTGTTAGACATATTTCACACATCATAGATTTAGCAGGAGATTGATTTCTAGACTGCATGGTTGTCAACCGTATGAGAAGATAGATATGTGCCTTTTGGACTGACTTGATCCATTTTATTTATACATATCCTCAGAGGAAACAGCGTCAATCTAATTCACGCCAATTTTTGAACTAACACGACAGTCGCAGATAAATCCACACAAAGGTAGCAAAGTCGACAATACGTGGACGGCAATCATGTTTTCATGAGTTTCTCGATTTGGCAGCCAAGTTCTTTAAAAAGTAAATACAGGACTACCTTCCAATGTTACAGCAACGTTCTATTCATTCCACTTAACTGACATTTCTGAAATTGTGTGCCCTAAAGTAACAACATCAATAGTACTGAACATTTCAAAAGGATGGTTGCCTTTCTCTTAAGCTTGAGGTAGCGTTTTAATACTCTCTGAGTGTCGTATGTTTATTTTTGAAACATTTCTGTAAATGTATTCTTCCTGCAAAATCCCATGTAAGTGCTATATCGATTATCTTAATTGATGAACAGTCGGCTTGATTCACATTTACCTAAACATATGTGTTAGTACTGTTAGTACATCTCATAATAATCTACATACAATGCTTTCCAGAAATCCCCCCTCCTATTTTTTAAACGGGTCAAGTTAGCAAGCTGAAAGTCAGGATACCGAAGTTAATGCATGAATAATATATTGTAGGGTAAAAGTGGATGTTGGAAATTTGAAGACGGTGGTTGTGCTTCATTTTGTAACAATTTTCTAAATAGAGCTCGTTGGACAAAAAATTACCTTCTTTGAAAATGACAAACTGGCACGCTGTCAAAGTTGGCGTTTGTGTAATTTTTTTTACACCTCAACAACCATTCATCAAAACACTTTAGAGTTCTATATTAATCTCTCGCAAGGACTGTCCAAATATGTCATAAAATATGAAACATTCCGTTAAAAAATTGACAATCTATCAATTTTGTGACTGAATTTCTCTTATTTTATTGTACAGATAGACCCGACCCTTCTATAAGAAGAACATTGATATCAAATGCTGTATCGTTTCGTTGATTGGTTGGGTTAAAAGAGATTCAATATACAAAAGAACTCAACTTTGCAGCTTCCCAGTCGTTTTGAATGATATTGATTTTATATTCAATGGTTATGAGGTTCTCATAAGTATCTTTGAAATCAGGTATCACACGATCAGTCATCCCATTTAAAAAAAAGTAATAAAATAAGTAGAGAGGGACCTTTCTGATATAGCAATAATCGCCTTTAGAAACCAACGAAATAATGTGGGAATTAAAAACGGACACAAAATTTTTACTTCTATGATTTTTTCGCCCCAGCAAGATAAAACAGATTGATAATAACTGGAGGGCAATACTCTGTATATTTAGTTCACAAGGAACTGAAGGCCTACTGGAAATATTGGAAGAAAACTGGAATCACAAATGGATAAATTCAAAATAATGAGAAATGAATTTTAATAACTGTAACTCTGCAACATCTCTATCAGATAATTTGAGGAAGCCCTGGATAAAAGGTACCATGTGATTATTCAAATCTAGGATGAAACTGCGCACCGGAATTATTCCTTTATAATCAGTTCCACAAAACGCCATATGCAATAATTATTTCCAAGATATTACATCCTTTAACATGAAACGCTTCTACCAATTCCAAGAAATTCCAACATTGTATATTGAAGAGGAAGAAGCTCCTTAAGTTTTTCCGTTCACCATCGATCTTGGTCGATCATGTTATTTCGCGCGTTATCTCTTAAATCCGACAAGTACGCCGGATCACAATCTAATTCACCGTCCATGTCGTTTACTGTTAAGTGAACGTTCTTTTCTCCAACCAACGGCAACCAATGGCTTAATTATCGGTCAAAGGAAATATGAATTAACGGCGAAAAAAATCAAGGATTTGTTGCGCACACGTATTATGCGAGCTGGGTCGTATATGGACACTACAAAAACGGTGACCGGATCATCTGAGTTCATTCACCATAATTTTAATTATGCATAGTTCAGGCGACAACATATAAACTACGTAGGCTTCTATTAGAAACTGTTAAATATTTTTTCGATGTACAAGGTTGTTCTACAGGTAATTAGGTCTAAAAGACTCATTTTAAAATAATAATAAATGTGTTTATTGACCTTGAGAAGGTACATACACAGCAGGTAGATATTTCTTACGAATAGCCAAAAGCGATATCAAAGGAACAGCATCCTTCCAAATAAACGGACGTGAACAATGCAGATGTAGCATCAGTAGTCAAAGAACGTATCATAGTCAACCTATATGTTCTGGATGGGTTTTCGCATTCTCGGAAGACGTTTGGAGCTTTCGGGACGACGAGCTGGGGTCGTATATCCAAAACATTGCCACATATAACTTTTGAAAATGAGAAAGATTTCCTAAAACTTTAAAAACAAATTTTAAGAGATTTTCATTTTGTGTTTTTTTTGCCCGTTACTCCACCGGCACTGGATCAATTTTCAAAACCGACAAAACATTGGAATCCGAGCGATACTTTTCAAGGCATAGAGGGGCCAAGGATTAGCAGACCAACAGACAGACGGACAGGGCAGGTAGACAGACAGGTCTATCCTGAGATATATGCAATGTAACATATATAATACATAACACCTCATTTTCGAAATTTTTCTCGATTACACTACGGTTATAACAGCTCGACGAGCACGGCACGCTTACCAAACAGGTTTCATACTAGTACAGCACGCCGGTTATCCACAGCTACGTATCGTTCTGGATATTTACATAATCCCAGTATGATCCTGAAATGATACACTATATTGGGCAAACCAAATCTTTAAACTGACCCAAACGGGTGTACAGCACTTCCACGCCCAATTTGTATAGTTTTGTACCATAGCTCAAGTACCACTGATATTTGAAACTGTGAACCACCTGATAACCATAACTATTGTTTGCTTTATATTTTTGTGAATTCTATCTAAACATAATTTAGACGAGGGCCACGCTATATATTTTGAGATACACCAAAACTAAAAACTATTTTTCGAAAACTAGTTCATTAATGTCCAATGTATTCTCCTCCAGCATCAATGTACTTCTGTAGCCTGACCTTCCACAAATGAAATGCTTCTAACCAGTCAGTTTTAGGAATGCCTTCAACAAACTGATTAATTATTTCTTGATCGATTTCCTCGTCGGAAGAAAGTTTTCGACCGCGCAGATTGTTTTTCAAATTTTTGACAGAAGTCACACATTGCCAAATCTAGCGAATAATGTTCTAGCATTTTGATGTGGCGCTGGCGTGATCAGTAAGCTGATGTGGCACCCATCTCGCAACAACTTTTTTTAAATGAAGATGAGCATGCCAAATGGTGTACGCTGTTGCGCATCCTACCCAAGAGTTGACTCTATAGTCGCATAAGTGCAGCGAGAATCTTCTTCAATTAGCCGTTGAACTTTAGCAATGCTTTCTGGAGTCACACTAGAACATGGCCTACTACTACGTTCTTCATCAGCCAATGAAACACACCCTCTTTTAAGTTCGGCATACCAGCGAAACACACTTGCCCGGGACGGAGCTTTATTACCAAATACCTGTCGTAACCGTTCGATACATTAATGTTCAGTTAAGTCGACTTTAAAGTCATAGTAAATCATAGCGAGATACCTCTCTCGAGACAACTCCGTATTTCGTCTTAAATTTGTTTACACCCCGTGCACTGTGTGATGATTGCAAATGAACCGAATGCGGCGACTTACTAATGAAGGACTGCTCTTTCTAATAGTGCACTGTTGCCGGTTTTTACTAGTATAGTTAATGCGCATCTCAAAATATATAGCGTGCCCCTCGTATCTGCTACTACGCCATCGCTCTGCCTTTGAGAGTTTTTTGAAGTCGAAGGTCTCTGTCAATAAGTCTACAGACATACTAAAAAATTACTCAAACCTACCTAAAGGACGTTCAGATACATTTATGCGAAATTTCGACAAAAGAATAAATACGACTGGCCAGCAAAGAAGATCATTCACCTGTGATTCAGAAACAAAATAACAATTTAAAGAGGAAAGTCTGTGTCTTCTATTTAATTCAAACCTTGCATACATTTTGGGATACCCTTTATGTTCAGCAAGGCTCATACTGTAACTTTTTACACTTAAATATTATGGATTGAGCTCGTTAAAAGTTAGGTAACTATATTAAAGCCAATTTCAGGGAATATTTTTGTGGTTGTTACAGACGATGGACGCGGACAGTAGCTACGGAGGGAGCGACACGGCGCAAGACTCTCACTCAGGCCACGAACTGAGCTCTCACTTGGACACCTCACATCACAACCACACAGTGGTGGACACCACAGATCATGCTCAAGATCGAATCACAACTGCAGTCCATCAGATCCCTACGCCGGACGCGGTTGGCCATGAACACAAACATTTCCTCAACACCAGTCAGGTAGAAAGCTGGTCAAAATAAAGGTCCTAATTGACACTTTGAGAATTTGTTCTAAAATGAAACCAAAATTTATTATTCATCAAAACGCATGGGGATTATGTTTTGTAAATAATATTTTCCAAAGGACCCCGTCAGCTGTTTTTACAGGTGACTTATCATTCGACTAAGATTTTCAGTAAACTTTTAATTCGTTTCATCAGTCACTTACGCAATGTTTTTGGTCAGACATCGACTAACGTAATAAGACAGCACAAAATGCCATCGGCTACCAGAATCGACCACAGTGTGTTGTTGGTCGGGTCACCCTTGTGACCGCTAGATGCCGCCGATTCTAGTGCTACTGTCCATTAGCCAGTAAACAAACTAGTAATATAGCTTTTCTTTGTCTGATCTGATACGAGGGATGTCTTTTAAGTTTTGCATATGGAAATCAGACAACACGGTAGGTAGTTTTAAATGACTTTATTGTTTTTTGAAGTATTCTCCATGATGATTAATACTCATCTGCATGCGGTCGAACCAATTTTCGAAGCACTTATTCCACTCCTTTGCTGGCAGATCCAAAACGGCATTTTTGAATGCGTCAACTGCTTCTTCTGGTGACTGGAACCTTTGACCACGCAGTCTGTTTTTAATTTTCGGGAAAGTAAAGAAATCTTTAGGACTTAGGATGGTCCGATAATTCCACGTTTTCTTCCGTTAAATACTGTCTTGTTTTTTGGGCTGTGTGCGAACTTGCATTGTCTTGGTGGAGTTCTTTGCTCATTGAGAGGAATTGTTGCAATATGACCCGCTTTTGATACAAATGTCGCGACCATCTTTTTCGAAACACTTCGAGAATGGATGACTTTTGTTGGCTTTTCTTCACCTTGGAACACCCAAACAACCGACTGTCGTTTATTTTCTTGTTCATAACAGTATATCCACGATTCATCACCACTAACAATGCTGTACACATGTTTTGAGTTTCCGGAATTGAAACGGTCATACGTTTTTTGACATCAATGAACCCTGGCTGCTTTCTGTTTGTCAGTCAACAGGTGGGGTCCAACGAGAAACTAATTTTCTTACTCCTAATTCGTCATGTAAAAATTTTTGTATTGAGGTCTTTGAGATCTTCAAGGACGCCTCGATCTCGCGATATGTCACTTGTCTATGTTCAATGACGAGTTTACGCACAGCATCGACATTTTTCTGGGTGACTGCCGTTTTTAGTGCACCCACCCTGGGATCGTCGCTAAGACTCACCCGTCCACGTTTGAATTCTCCATACCAACGAGACATTGTCGACTGATGTGGCGCTTCGTTGCCGAAAACAGACAGTAACTCAGCAAGACATTCTTGTTGCGATAATTGTCTCTGAAAGTTGTAATAAATTATGGCGCGAAAATGTTCTCGGTTGAGTTCCATTTTTCTAATGACTTGGTGACACTTAAAAATTCACTGTAGTGAGAACACTGCACGTATTGTTGTGAAACTTTGAATTTAAGTTTACTAAAGAGTGAGGTTAAGATTCAGTACTTCTATATGCAAAACTTAAAAGACATCCCTCGCACTAAACCTACTAACTATCCTAAGGCGTTCCCAAATAACACGAAAGAGCGGTCCATGGTTGGCCATCGCGTCGATGGTAGTTTGCTGTTGCTCGATGGGGAGTAAACAATAGCTATACCACCAGAATCGGCGTCATCTTGCGGCTACAGCGGTTGATCCGGCTGACAATGTGAACTCAAATACAGTTCCCACATGCTGTGCTTGCTGTGTTCACCTCCGCAATCATCGATACCGCTAACAGCTGGCTGTCTTATATCGATAGAGCTTCTACTCTGGATAGAGGATAATTGCTCAGATTTCGGTTGTTGTCCTACCTGAGACACAGACTACGCCATTACTTGAGACTTGCCAAATAGCATGAAACGGCTGTCCATGGTTGGCCATCTGGGGTGAGATGAACGAAAGCTACAGTACTAGTTCGATCAATTAATCTAGCCTGGGGTAGGCGGATTGTTTGAATAGACTTTATTCCTTAGAAATCACCACCAAAAAATGTTTAGGGGGGTTAGATAATATTCATGACACAAGTCTGTATTTGTCGTAACGCTCTCCGTCACATTTACCGTTCCACCGTCATATTTTTTTATGAAAAAATGTGAGTGAATTTTCGTAGTTCTTAAGCACAGTTCAGATGCATTTCTCAAAAGTAAAAAGACCTATAATTAAACGTCAAATCGTTGAAAAATGTCGCTTAATCTAAATCCCAAAGTACCTACATTACATTATCATGTGGACATGTTGGAATATAGTACCAATACAGACAGTTCATGGTTACTATCTCCAATTGCGAAAAATTCGGCATATTCGCCATTCCCGCAAGTAAGATTAAAAAATCATTTTTCCATGTTACATCGTTCTACATTGGTCATGAGCTGCTGGATCGCTGGACGTATTATGTCAGTAATAATATTACCACTTTACAGGTAACACTACCAGTGAATATGCCAGAAGCAGAGCACCAAGAGCACTACCTGACAACTGCCAGGATCACAGTCAATGATAGCCCAGAAATGAACAATGATGAAGACATGGGTGTCAGGTATGTCTATCAACATCGTTACACACCAGACATAGTACCGATAGGGAAGATTCAATATTTGTGTTTTTACTTCCATTTTTAAGGAATCTATGTAGAATCATTGATTAACGTATTCAACCTGAAGATTTGACTATCCCGATGGGACCGCTTAAGTATTAAGTATGGCAATTTTTAATATACTCGTAATTAACCCCCTTTCCCCTTGTCAGCAAGAGTAAGCAAATCTCTTAACCCCCCTTCCATGCTTACGTATACATTTTGGTACATTTTATAATTTGAAGCAAGTATAAGCTTTCACGCAGATGGTCTGAATACTTTTTAATGTCTGGAAAATCAGGTAGAGCTGGCTCGCCCGACCCAAAATACATAGCAGTAATACAAGTATCATCCATATCCATGCATCAGCTAATACATTTCCGGCCAACTCAAAATTGGATCTTTATACATGTTCATTAATTGTAACGCCAGTTCATCTAAATAAAACCCAAAATGGTCGTGAGGTAGTATCAGACCAGCCAGTTCCCGACTATTATCTTATAGCCATTCTGCGCTCTACTCGGTATAGCTAAGGTTCTAAGCAAATAAGCATATCCGTATTTGAGGAATCCTCGAAGATGCATTTCGTTCTCGAGCATAGACAAGCAGTGTGGCTATATATGTTCAAAACAAAACTGTATTTTTTAGGAAATCCGAAAAAAAAAAAATAAATGTAGCTGTCGTAATCACCATCTAGATCCACCATCCATCATAATAAGCAAAGCGACGACTCCCGCCCCCTTTAGTACTTACATAATACTAGAATGGTTTACATATTCCGGCATCAAAAAATTATCTATTATTTATTTATTTAATAACAATAACAATAACATCCAACAAAGACCATATACAAAAATTATAAATACACATAAATATATAACAACATAATTCATCTTCATCAAGGAAATCCTGATGACAGAAAGATGCACCTAGATGGTTCAAACCACCTGTATGTGCTTTCATCATCCGGACTTACAAACGAAAAGAAAATGCTATTTATTGGATTATAAAATACAATAAAAAAGCAATAATCATCCTCAATATCCCGAACAATTGTTCAATCATACTATGATACAAACAATCATTAGAAAAACCTTTTAAATTGTGCAGCATTCTCAAAAATATATTCTCTGCAGCTGGTGCTAAATGTTTTCATATCTTCCATCTTTTTCAAGTGTTCTGGCAGAATGTTATATATCTTTGGCCCTATATACGTTATGTATCTTAAGTTTAGGTTATTGTTATTCTTGGGAATTTCTATTTGCCTGCCCATATTTGCACGAGTACAGTAGTTATGACTTACTTCAATTCAATTCAATTCAATTCAATGGACTTTATTGTAACACATACATAATTATGTATCCTTACAAATGGCGAAGTCTGGCCAATGGCCATTTATACTTAACCATAAATGTCATGTCAATGCTTATTACTACCTTAAAAATAAAATAAAAAACTGAAAAAGAAAAGGAAAAAGAAGAATAATAGTAAAAGAAGAATTAATAAATATGACATAATGCGTACGATTAGAACAAAAAACATAATACGTACGATTCAAAGAGAAGACAATAACCTAAGAGCTCAATAAGTAGTTCTTATATTCTTTTTTAGAAAAGTTGCTGATGAAACATTGTTCGAAAGAGTTGATCAATTTCACCGCATTATACGTAAAAGACCGTTGAAAAATGGCTGTACTATGTTGTGGCATTGTCAGGAGATTGATATTGCGCGTATTCAAATTGTGAATTAAATTCCTACGAACCAGCTTTTGCATAAGATAAACCGGAACAGAAGTTTTTAATATTTTTACGGCAAATGTAACAAAGTTGTATTTGAAAAGATCAGAAATTTTCAACCAATTCATTGAAGATATTGAGTGAGAAACATGATTGTACCTTCTTAAATTGTTTATGTAACGACTACATGGGTTTTGAATTTTTTGCAGTCTGTATTTTGTGATTTCATCCAGACAGGGATAATAAACTATGTTGCAGTAAGCGATTTTACTGAGTATGAGTGACTCGCATAACATTTTCTTAATTTTTCTATTTAAAACAGTTTTACTTGCATATAGAAGCCTGAGTCTAAAATAACTAGACTTACACACATAGCCAACATGCTCCTGAAATCTGAAATCTTCATCCAAGTACAAACCTAAATTTGTTTCTGTAGTTTTTCATTTCTATAAATAAAAGTAGATACTGTCATCACGTACAAGGATCTAATATTACACACATCCTTTGTAAAAAGTTTATTAGTGGGGAATCTTTTATCTAATGAAATAAGATATATCGTATAATTGACTACAGTGTCATCTATGAGGTACCAGCCTTTTAAAGTAGATTTCTAATTATTACGGAGAGGAGAAACATAGGTGTGGCAAATTCTCATAGACGAAGGCATGCTATCTCCTTTCAACTCAACTAATTTTTTACACACCGAAATACAGTATTAGGTTGGCTATATTTAGGTAGAAAGACATTAATCAAAGGGGGTGTTCAGCCAACGTAAAGCAATCCAGCGCAGTGTTGTAGTGCCTTTATACCGACTGTACTGCTTCACGTCGGATGAAGTGCGGAAAAAGTGCTGTTTTAAGCTATTCAAATTTTCCCGAAAAGACGGATCTAACGCAAATGATATCATTTCCACTTTTTGTTTATCGAAATCGTCACTGACATTGAACAGTTGCTTTAGAGTTTCCGTATCTTTAATATTTCAAGTTATCTGTATTTGGATAGAATATTCTGAGCAAGAGCACCAATTTTTTTTAGTTAGGTTGCTAGAAATAGTAATAAAGATATATTCTGGTTAAGAAATATGTGCACTCAACAGGAAAAAATAGTCTCGCCAATCGTGCCATCGCTTAATTATTACAGAACGCGTTAGACCGACCAACCATCTGACAGCTTGCAATTCATCATACTAGCCACAACAGTTGAAAATAAACTCAAAAGATATCTAGTCATAAGCAGGAGTCATTGGTAAATAATGCTTTGTGTTCAATCCATAGTCAATTTATTTGGCTCCTGTTGGTATTCTGAAGCTACCACGATAATTACTGGTTGCCTATGATTCAGACTTTTTATCATCCCTTAAATGTTCAGCAACAAAATAGCTCAACTGGTGGGAGCAGCAGATATGGTCACACGCACGTCATGAATGCTATCATAATTCATTTTATCTCGGTGTAAGATACGATAGCTCAAAAATAATAAGAATCTTGATTTTTGCAATATATTGGTATATCATAAACGCATAACAGTCATACGTATACAATATGTTACGACGAATACTGTACAGGGGGCATCATAGGGAGTATAATTTGCAGGGCTGGCTTGACGTTACCTGATGATAATATATAAAGGGTCATTTTATATTCACTAGTACGAATTCAATATGTTATGCTATGCATGATTTCTTGACATTTCATGCAAATGTTGAAAAAAAAGTTGAATTATTGTATCGCTCCTATTCTGAAATGCTTCTAAGAGTAGAGCTAAAGTGATATGACTATAAGTATGTTTACTTCAACTGTCATAGTTATATTTTATATCAGTTATGTGTCTGTATTGATTTATCTTGGCGAGACTGAGCAATACAAGTAGTGACTGTTTCACACTCAAGGTTTTGTTATCTTCTAGCAGGCATAAGAAACTGATAAAAGTAGATCACAACGGTTGTGATGACGACGAAGACGAAGCCGACGATATGAATCATAGGATTGCTAGGGACCAATTAGGCCAGGAGCCTAAGAGCAACCTAGAAGAGATGAGTCGAAACTACAAGAGTACCAGCCATCTGAATGAGAGCAACGGGGAGTGTGAAAAAGGTATAGAGAATCCAGCGTTTGTTGGAGATGGCAGTGACAGGAAGAGTACATTGAGCACGTTCAACAGTGAGAAGCATTACAATGGCGAGCTCAATACCTCCCCCAAGTTAGGTAAGTCAGTTGATATAGATTCGACCACAATGGCTCACTGATATCAGAGATAATACATAAGGATACGGTATAAGTATTGTCGTATGACAATCAAATATAAGGCAGCTAAGTTATGTTCACATTTTGATAAACTATCCACTTTGTTAGTCTGAGTACAAAGCATAAACGTTCAACTCACTAGTTGGTAATTTATATCACTATACGGGTGAATTACCAGTTACTAGCGTCGTTATGGAGTTGTTCCCGACAATTGCTTACAATGCCATTATTTACTATTATTTTCGGCCGGTTCAATCAACTAAAGAATGCAACAACGAAGTAAAAAATATTTGATGGGGATGAGCTATGTTTGGGGACATGGAGAGATTTTATCTGAATCTCAAACATAGCTAATTTAGTTTACTAGAGGACCCACATTGAGGCCGGATGCCAACCTAGAACTTGTAGGAGGAGCTATAAGGGGAGATACATATAGACATAAGGAAGGGACAAAGCCGACTCTGGGTATTCGAAACCACCTTAATATAATAGTTTTGGTAGGATCGGAAAAGAATAGTCGTATCTTATCCAGAGATAAGTTTGTTGAAGTACATTGAGCTTGATAAGCAGTAGCCCTTCACAGCTAAATGTAACTCAAAATATTGTTTGCCAAAACTATTTGCAGTACTTAGAAATGTATAGCGAAATCGTCGCTACGCTCATGGCATCTTCACAGTTTTTGGAAGGACCAGGGAATCCAAGAGCTGGATGAGCCGCCTTAGAGACCTGACTTGTTGCCAAGCGAAATCATCGCTAAAAGGAGTTTTACATCTGAAGACGAACTGAATGCACCTGGTCCTGTTACTCTGTTGGGAAGGAATAATTGGGGCGCTGGTTCAATGATTGACTCTTGCGTATGGCATGGTGCATTCATTGCGATTGATATTATTTTGTAAAAAAAAATCTTTGCCGTACCCGTATGATGAAAAGTTCTAAAAAATGTGACGTCTTCGAGTCAACTGACTCTTTAATATTATATGGCGCTTTCTTCGATGATGTATTGTGCAACTTTTTATTTTGCCTCAGAATTGTTAACAACTTGAATTTCGAAAGAAATTACTTGCGATTTTTCCAAGAATCGATGATATTGAGAATTTCCTCATTCTTAAATGCTTACTCAAGTAGACACAACCCAATCGAGTATCCTAATTTGTGAAACAAATCGAGTTAATTCTAAGTTGCAATTTATGCATAATATTAAAGTTTTTGTGCCTGAAATAGTATTGTGACATTTTCATACTTAGTTACTACCGTATTTTTTGACATTTATGTAAAAATCCCCAACCTATATTAAAGAATTTCAAGCTTATTCAGATTGTGAACAATCTACATTGTTACATTCTGATTAACATGTACGTTTCTATCATGTACCTATATCCACTATTAATAATATCACTAGATAAGTGATTGTTCATGAATAGCAACTGCAAACACTTTTACAACTAATCTTACATTCATGTTAATTAGCTGCTTATACATCCGCTCCATTATTCTTTTTTATTTCGCCCATATAAAATCATTACAAAAAGTAAGAAAATTCAGACACATTTTATTGAAGGCTGTTAATTATTGCTCGTTAATTTATAGCATTTTTTACACCTCGAAGATATTTTTTATTTATATGAATTTGTTATGCACGGGTATACGGTGATTCATAGAATGCTTGCATACGTTCCTCGAATGATGATATTCTGGGCAACATTTTTCAACTCATTTGTATCGGATCAGTTTTTTTCTATTAAGGTCCTAAACGAAGAAATTTATTAATATAGCCTAACTTAAAAATACTAAAAAAATTATATATCAGTTGAGTGATTGAAGATGTGATACCATATGATGGGACATGAATGCAAGGTGTGAATCTATGGACTGAGACCGACTCGCTATAAGTCGATACCCTCCTTCTTTATTTTTTGAGACAAAGAAAAAAGTCTAATAGAAAAGATATAGTCATGTTAGTGTCAAGCTTTTCAGGTAATATATTCATGCCTGCAAAAGTGTTATAAAGTTGTTTTTATTTTTTGATGGAACTTTTTGTCTATTTTTAGTTAAAATCCTACTCGACCTCTTCTGATGTTAAGATATATGTTATACTCAATTTTTATTTCTCTAATCGAAATCTCCTAGCTGTAAATTTACATTGTGGACAGCTTCTGTAGCTTAAGGAGGTATACAGGGTTTGTCCGGAAAGTAATAGGACTGAGTCGATTTAAAAAAATTTGTTGAGCCAATCGTTACAATTCTTTAAAAACTTTCAAAATACGCTCGTTCTGCGTCGATACAGTGCTGCCAGCGCGATTTCCAAGTATTGAAGCGAGCCCTTCTCGGCCCTCCAAAAAGGCCTGGTGCCACCGAAACACACCACTTCTTGCTAAAGCAACACCTGGGTAAGCCTGCTTGATCATATCAAACGTCTCTGACGCAGATTTACCGAGCTTCACACAGAATTTAATCGCGTACCTCTGCTCTAACGAACGCTGCATTTTCGGCTTGCACCACTCACAGAAACACGTCGCGCGAAAATGCCTGTCCTGAATCTCCAAGTGCTCGGAGACAGCCGCTCATTCGTAAGCTAGGAACGCCCTCTACCAAATCCAGTCGGTGCGCGTACGGTCCGAATTACAGTCATGGAGGAAGCAAATGAGTCCTATTACTTTCCAGTCAAACCCTGTACATGTATTCCTTTAACACAAATGTTATTTTCTAATTGTTTATTCTCTTTTAACGAGATAAGCTCTGTTCCTTTAGAGGTACTCCACTTATCTTAATGTTGCTTTTCTCAACCCTTATGAACTGTAAATAGTTCGAATGAGTTTATCAAAAAATTTATTATTTTCCAGGGGCATGTAATACTAAGCCAGAAGAGCCAATGACTGAAGCGGTTAATCTTGAGTTGATCAATTTGAAACCGGGGACTGAAGGCTACGATGTAGCTGGAAACGGAATGACGACCATTCCTTTGAAGAAGGATAATGATAGGGATATAGGGAATCCTTACGACGAATATTTTGTTCCTGTCAACGAGCACAGGAAGTATATGAGGTGAGCAATACTTACCCATACTGTGATCGTCATAAAAGATCAATCAGTTACTCCCTGCTTCTTTGCCTGATAATGCTTCGCCAATAATTGTTTTCTAGTTCCTTAAGCTATAGCGAATCCTGACGCACATACACACATACATACATGCTTAACAAATTACATCTATTCAGAAAATTGTATTAATTGGATAACTACAACAAAATCAAACCTCAGTAATCTGCGATAAAGTTGAAATCCCTACTAATACTATACAGAGATAGATTATAGTCTGAACGCGCACAATCGCTGGTCCGACCTAAATAAGTAAGGATATATGAATACGGCTTTTGCTACGTGCACTTACTGCTTTCCGTGATTCGTTTTCTTAGCGTGATCATCTTAATTGAGCTTTTCCTGGTGTTTTGTTTTGCTTCAAGTATAATATTGTCAATAAATAGTTATTGGGTTAGGATATGCCGCACTAGGCTGCGAGACTGCTTCACGTATTATTTATTGCGGTTCCGAGTACACATTTGATTGTTGCATTCGGATGTTGAATTAAAGAATGTCCATTGTCAAAGTAACTATTACACAACTCTGAATATTGCATTCTTTCTTCGAAACAAACTTCTTCACACTAAAGTAAAACGAATACTTTAACTACTTCCACACGATCGGAGCCGCGGGTTTAATAGTATAAGTAATATTTTATTATGCGAGTACTAACAATGTATTACTATAGGCTAAATCTACACTGGATTTGCGCTATTCACATACAATTGTCTTTCCAAAAACGTACAATTTTGATTCTACTATAGCATTACCGACAGCAATTTCTTTTAGCTTGCTTAATTTTGAAAAATGCAGGACCTTGGCTCAAGTCTCGAGTATACTCTCAATGTTCTTGATCTAGATATGCCAAATATGTACGAACAGTGAATGTGCGAAGCATTGATATACGTATGTATGTGTATGTGTATTTATGTTTTAATACACAATGAAAATGATTATAGGATATCAACGATTAAGTGAGATATTGATCTTTAGGTTACAGGTGTTTAGCACTAAGAATTTCATGCAGCAATTGGAAACTGTGGTTGTAATTTGTATCTACTTAAATGTGTGATGTACCACTGTAATCCGTTTCTGCATATCCGCCTATTTTGTTTTTTTTTCCTTGCTATAAAGTGTCTTACTATGAGTTTCTAAAAAAATCGTGACAACCCTTTATTCAATTTGGTTGAAATTTGATGAAATATATCCTTTACAGACGTGAAAAGAACTATGATCTTTAAAGAACGCTTCATCAACACTAAAAAAAGTCATCTAGATCGCCGGACTTAGACTGTTAATTGGAGTTGTTGTTATACTGGAGGAGCTAGAAATAAGTAAGATGAAGTTGGGAATTGTGTACCATTTCACAGAGTTTCTGAAATAACTCGTTAATGACTTACTTGAATTGAATGAAAGTTCAAAGGTTAATATACATGTCTCCTTCAAAAGCGAAACAAAAAACTTATGCATAGGTATACTAAGAATATATAATAATTAAATTTTAAGACAATTTTGCAAACGACACAATTCACCGCACCAGTTCGTTAAGTACTACCACGTGGTCTGGAAATTGTACCTTAGCATTAAGTTTCCATTGTTAGTACAAGAGATGAGTCAAACAAAATATTGTTATAAATTAAATGTCTTATTTAGCCAACTCACGTACAGAGATCATAAATTAGGAATATAGTTGAGACAAAATAATTACCCTATCGTATTAACGTATCAGAAACCAATTATTTGGATGCAAAGGCTTATCTAAAATTGTATAACATTTACGGGGCTTCATATTCTACAGACACCAAATTTCAACTTTTACGACCGCCGTTTATAAGTTTTGTTCTGGTATGTTTTAACGCCAAACAACAAACAGTCTAATTTGATGACGTTAGGAATCTACAATTTACTAAATATTTAGGTGGTACAATTTAAATATCGGTAGAATATAATCTGACTTTCCCCTATATTTGTTTTATCTGAATTTTTTTATAGATTTTTTCTGATAAATAACCTGATGTTCTAGTTTTAGTAGTATTTCCATAAAAAATTGTTAGAGCGCAGTCATCAACCTATTTATGATGAGCATTTCGTAGAGCACAAGCTCCGGAATTGTCAACACGTTTCTGATGCGAATTTTAATTGATATGTCTTTTGACAGCTTATTCCGAATAAATTATATAAAGAATAAGAAATTATTACTAATAGATTAGTTGTCCTTAACACCTTGTGAATACGTATAATTACTGAAGCGAACAAAAACCAAACAATCAGAAGCAGGCTGTTCTACCTGACATTAGACGAATGAGGAAGGAAACAAATACTTAAAGTAGACGTAATCCACATTTCACGGTCACGGACGGACGTTATTATCACGTCTAGCGAGGATCAAATCTTTGAAATGAGTCGAAATGTGGGTCACAAACAACAAAGAAAGTAAGAGTGAAACTGCACGCCATTAGATCACTGAAAGCGAAAGGATTCTCTCGATTGGTGTCTGCGAAATATTACATTATTCTGCAAGATGTTTTGTCTTGAATGCATCGTTCGAAATTATGATGCATGGACCATTACCTGCAAAAATTCCTTACATTACCTATTGTTGCGATGCTGAAATGTACACATGTCTGAAAGTTACAGGCCAACCAGATGTTTTAAATCACCTCACGCATTGAGAAATTTATTTTTTTATTTTGCTTTTACCAGTATTTGTGATACAGTTCTATAAAATATCAAATATTGCCTCTTGCATTTTAGAAACAACAAAAAGTACTGAGGTAGATATGTGAGCCAAAAAAATCTTACCAATTGTTTCATGTAACAAATTCCGATTTTTTAAATGCCTGAAATTTTCTAGTTGCATTTTTTGCAGGTCAACAAACAGTAGCGGAACTCTTGCATTGTCCTTTTGAAACGATGCATTGAGATGTCTTTTACGAGGTCTGGTTGTATGTTATATGAGTTGATGTCTAAGGACTGTTTTGTAGAGTTCTGTAGATGGCATCCTGCAAGTGTGACTGAACCAGCTGCTCTAGTTCTGTATAAATATTATGAACCATGAGTATTAATGTATCTCTGATATTGTGCACTTCTTACACCTGAGCAGAAATATACAAAGACGGAAGTGTCACAACCTTAAGACGAGTAAAGTGAAGCCTACGATGATACCGTTAGCTAACAGTGACAAATGTACATCTTTCTTTTTCAATCTGGAGACTGATAGAGCACCAGAATAACGACCCCATAAATCAACTTCATATTAGATGTGTCTGCTAAATACCAACAAATAATTTTAGAAACAATATTTTTTCCATTTTTTTCTTACACAACTTTTTCCTCATATCGTAATAATTTCATTGCATATGATTACCATATGTAAGCATATGCGGTTTTGACAAGCTATACATACTTTGCACATTCGTGTAAAGTGCCAAATGCGTTGAGACGTTGGACCAAGATTCTTGCATGTTTTCAAGAGTAAATTCAAACTATTACCAATCACACACCCAAATCACTACCTTACGTTCAGGGTATCTGGACTTTGTCACTTGTCATCAAGCTTATCGCCTTATTCGAGAATCGGTTTACGTACCAAAACATATTACTGCTTCACTGAACGATCGTGATCGCAATTATGCTGCTAGCTGTTGTTTAGCCTCTTGTCTGTTTCAACTGCCGATCATTATCATATTTAATCGATGTGGAAAAATAATTTCCTTTCAATCAGATAACCGAAATTAAATTACATCAATTACCAACATGCAAAATTCAGTTGTTACGCAGAAATAAAATGTTTAGAAAGCTGGCTGACCACAGTGCAAAAAACTTCTCGATTTTCTTTCCTTCAGAATTTACAAAAACGCACCCCGTAAAAAACGTTTACGCTAATCTGGCTTGGAGGCAAAATGCAATGTTAATGAATTGTTAGTAGTGAATTAATTTGTCCGCCTAGTCAACAATTTGATTAACAGTTCAAATGATACAAAGGAAAAGTTAAAAGCCGCACTTGTTTACTTTCACGTCGCGTGGTCTTTTCATCGCTAGGTTTGCTTCAACCTATTCTCGATTGATCTGCAATTTGGAATATTATCTGAAATGACGCGTGAAACCAGCAATGACTATGTTTAATGTAATAATAAAATGATAAACACAGAAAATAATTATGCCTCAATATGTAACAAGATAGATTCAAGGGGTTTGGTATTAGTACTTGTTGCTTTACAGGCTTATCGTGCGCGTCGCTGTATAGATTCTCAAGGAATGTTAACAGTGTCTGTACCTGTTTCCTTTCTTTTTTCCCTTTAACTTGATTCGAGCCTTCTTAGGCTGAATTTTGAATTCTTACACGAAAGGAACATTAGGTATAATTACATGATCTTCGAGGTTTCCAAGACCGAGTTTCGTTTATCTCTCTTCATTTACCAAGTGCTCTCCCACTCAGTGCAGAATCTGATTTTTCAGTACTTGGGCAATATTTGATGCTCTCACCTAAATTTTCTGCATCTATGCTCTGAATAACCAGTACCTAGTCTTAATTCTATTATATGGGAGTCTAAATGTTATCTTTGTATTATATTGGACTGAAAGCTTTCCACTATCCTGTGGACTTCTTTCTGTGCTTACTTCGACACCTATTGAGTCAGTTATTCAGTGCAAGGCTTCAAGCTGTTGAGGAATATCCAAACCATATTCGTGAAATAAAGTATCGCTTGATAAAGAAAAGCAAACCCTCTTTGACCAAATTACTTCAGACTTTGGCAATATATTCAATGTGTAGCTGTAACTTGCTAATGCCACTAACATGTGTTGCTCTCAGAGCCGTTCGGTCTGTGTATTGTAATAAGCTAATTATTCAAAACAAAAATACCGAGATCAGGTTATCGTTTAATAAAATAAGGATGAAAATATCACTATTCACTTTTATCAACAAAGGACTCAATTATTAACAGTCCATCATCGCATTTGTCAGCTTTTCAAATCCCTATACGTAATTCACGCTTTTCAATGTCTATCATTACATTGTAACCATTAATCACATACTCGTATGAATGCTCAACCAAAACAACTCGTTATATAATAAATATCGACATTGAATGAACCTTATGTACTACTCGTACATTGAGTTGTAAAACCGTTTATTCATTTTTTTGAAAGATGAAATAACGGTAAGTCTTCACTAGCAAACCAGAAGCGTAGATGCCATTTACATTCCTCACATTTAAATGTCATAGAGAGCATCTTCAGTAAATAGAATGGTATCTTATTAGATTGTTGTTACTTGTAGGATAAGGTAGATGCAGTGGCGTAACTTCTTGTTCTGTCTAAATACGGAACGGTGAATACCTTCTCTGTTGAAGGCTGATGAGTACGAGTCGAAACAATTTGTTGAGAACGAATTCATGCGCTGAAAGGCATTTTTGCGAGATGCAACAATCTGTACTGAGATGGTCATAGTTGTGTTAGTTGTGTCCATTTAAGATAAATGGACTTTTCTCAGAAATCACCAATTTCTCTGATAGTACCAAAAAGTTCGCCTAAGAACGAGTTGAGGAAAGTATCCAAGTATTGACTCAAACATAAAACCTAAATCGCTAATCATTTGAGATACTTTTACGTCTTAAAAGAACTAATGCTTCTTTTGAATAGGTATATCTTGGGTCCCAACCCCGACTTTTGTGGTATTAATCACATGTCCACAAAATAAAAAAGTAGTATGTCCATGAGGTCCGACTTTTTCCCATGTATGTTTTAATGCTGAACACGAAGTTAAAATTGGGGGAAAATGGACAAATATGGAATTAATTCAGGTAGAATTGAAATATTTTGTATTTGGATTTACAATATGTGTATTTCTCAGAGACCTCTGAAGAACCAAAAATGCCGAAATGCGTGATAATAATGTAAGAATTACTTTCTTATTTGTCCACCGTCCACCTATTATGACTTCAGATTCGTGTTCAGCATGAAAGTTACATGGGAAAACATAGTGCGACCACAAGCACACACTTTTTTGAAGGGGTATGTGTAATGTTTCTACAGAGTACTAAAAAATATCACAAAACCTTTTCTTCAACCTCAAATCTAACTTGAAGAAGTACAGGAATAATTAATAATGTTATAGATAACCTCGGGTAATAAAAAGTAAGGAGCAGCATGCCTCGCCAGCATTAGCGTTCGATGTGCTTTGCTGTCTTCCTTTTCGAAGCCAGACTTATTACTTATTACTTCGCCCACAGAACTTGCAATTGAAAATATTTTCGAAACGAAAGGTTGAGAATTTTTATTAGAAGTACTATCTTAGTTAGAGAGACAACTCCGAATTCAAATACCTTATCCAGAAATATGACAAAGTTCCGTAAACTTTTGACTAATTGACAACCTAGAACCTATAATCTACGTTTCTATAATAGAAAAGAAGCTTATCAATTATGAATATGCAACTGTTTTGTTTTATTCATCGATTCTATTTTTTATTTTTTTTTCAGGGGAGAGAAGTTATACGTCACTAAGGACAAAAGAGGCGAAAAAGGCAAAAATAAATGCCTCTGTTGGGGTATATGTCTATGCATAGTAGCGGCAGCAGTTATTGTAGGAATATTGGCAGCAGGTGGGTTCCAAGCACCTAAGCGTGGGGGACAACGAAGGATTCTTCCTATGTCGACTGCTAAATTTGTTCGTCTACTAATATAACAAGCTGTTGTCATAATAGATCGATTTTACAACGGAATTATATTTTTGAGGAGAAACAAAAAGAAATAATGGGTAACTTTTTGTTAAACAAAAAAGTTGGAAAAATAACGTTTTTGCATGTTTTCGAAAAACTATGAAGTATTGGTCTAAGAGTTGTAGAGGATAAAAAGACCTTCAAGGTGAGACCTCATACGAGTATGTCCAATTTGCTGGACCAACAATCTCAAATATTGACAATTATTATAAATTTTCAGAAAATGCTATCCACTTTTAATTAACATTTTCTGGATTTTCTTCATCGCAAAGAATCTTAGTTCTCACTGTTATTTCAGGTTGCTTTTTGGACACTTTTTCATAAAAAGTAAAATTGAAAATTGGTGATTTTAAGGAAACCTTATATCCAAGACTCCATACTTTTTTAAATATATGGAAAATTTCGATAAAAAAGTTAGTACATTTCTTGATGAGGTACCTTCAAGAATGTATTTCTGTTATATAATACGTTCAGAATTTTCTTTATGAGATTCTAGCTATGCTAACATGAAGCTACTGATGTAAAGCTTGATTTTTGTAACAAAATGTCAAAGAAAGCAAATTCAGCAGCTGACTTGCTTTCGTATTTTGATGAGAGGGGATGGTGAGGTTTGTCACCCTACATAGCCTCCCTTGATCCAAAGCGTAAAACAACTGATAGTTTACTTACAGGGTGCAATTAGCGATAAGTAACCTTTCACTAAATACCGAATCTTTTTTACTTTTTTCAGCTGGTGTGATAGGTAACCAAGGGCCGATGCCCCAAGAAGTGAGCGCTCGAACGTTCAGCAGCAATGACGACAAACCAATCAGGAAAAGTGGTGATAGCGAAAATGGCGCTGCTAATATTGCAAAAGGAGGAATTAGTATACCGGGGGTGTCGGATACGAAGCCATTATATACACCGGAACCACCGATTTCAACCGTATCCTCGATACTTCCTACCACAGATATGTCCAAGATACAAGGTATGATATGCATTTTGTTGTGTTCCGAGCTGGAAACTTTCTCCAGAAGTCATTTCGTATAATTTTTAGGGTTGTCCGAAAAAGTTTTAACAAGAACCAAAATGAACGAAAAAGCTTCCGAATCAACAAAAGTTCCAGCATCATTTTTAGTTCCCACGCCTACCGGCAGGGAAGTATTGTAATTGCGAAAATTATCGAAAATAAGAAATTATATTTTTTGGATGTAATATGACATGTACATCACGAAGAACCATATCACTCATTTCCCTTAGTCCGTCTGTCTATCTGTAGGTCTGTCCGCTAATCCTATAACCGCTTATAAATTAAGAAGTACCACGTAGATTTCGATGAAGTTCTTACACAACGTTTCTACCATGCCAAGGGAGCAAAAGTTTTGTAGTTTTAGGAAATTAGTCCAGTGGTGGAGAAAAAAACCTAAAACGGAAAAACGAGAAAAGTTGAATTCGCTTATACTTCTTTTGAAAAAATATTGGAGGTAACAAAGCTTGGAAGTGGGAGTGGGGAGGGTTAACTCCAATTCTTTGATGTTAGTAGATTTAAACGCTCCCAACTTTGGTAATTCTAAGCACCTATTAGGCATATTAAATATCTTGGTATATATGTGGATAGTAAACTACTGTTTCACGAGCATTATGAATACATAATATAAAAAAATAAACTATTTCTATAGAGTTTCCCATGATCTTAGTATGTATTAAAAAAATTGTGTATAACACTATAACTCTCCCCCATTTTTTATATTGTTCAACCATCTTGTTTACAGCAAATGAAAACATATTTTCAAAATCACAAATTCTACAAAATAAGGCTACGAGAATCATTTTAAATAAAAACAAATATGCTAGGATTAAATCTATGTTAGTAGAAGAACTACAGTGGTTGAATGTGTGTTATTCAGTTCTCGTGTCTATATTCAAATTAAGAAATTATTTATTACCACCACATTTAAAAAACTTCACAAAATTAAATTGCCATTATCATAACTAAGAAACTAGAGACAGTATAGATTTTCATCTGCAAAATTGTAATAGTAGCATAACTAGTAAACCTATATTCCAGAAGTTAGTATTTGTATTTAATAAATTGAGAAATGATATTAAACAGCGTTCGAATTTAAAAATGTTTAAGGTGAAATTAAAAAGTCACTCTATGAAAAATCAAAATGCATTGGGATGTAATTTTAATAGGCAAGAATGTAAAATTACAGAAAATGGATTGGAGAAAAATATGTATGCGAATAATGATACAATATTGACATTGTAGTATTAATGCTAAATAAATCTTCAATAAACAAACAATATTTCACACATCGTAGATTTCCCTATACATTAGCACTTAAAACTTGGAATGTTCTGTCGTTCTGGTATGATGTTTCCTATTCTCTAACCACGCTGCCATTTCTGGCCGAGTGAATTGAGGAGACACGACGTTTCTTGATGAACTGCCGGTAGGGCTGGGAAATAATGTCTATGGACTAATTGTACGGACCTGTTTGATTGACACTTTTTTCTCTGATGGTCTAGCTTCTTCTGATCATAATCCTTTATGAACTGACAACGGCATTGAGTGGGAAGTGCAGGGTCAATGTACTTGACGCGATTTTCTATTTTAGTGCCAAGAGCAATCGAATCAGAAATTACGATAGACAATCTTCAATTCACGCCCGAGCTGTCAAATAAGAATAGCTCCGAGTACAAGGCTCTTGCAAAGTCGATTGAAGACCAACTGAAAGAGGTGTTGTTCAGGAAAGATATACTCTATTACGGACCTGCAGATATTGAGATTAAAATCCTGGAGTTCACGTGAGTATTTAAATCTCAAATCTATTAAAACCTGAAATGTGAAAACTTCGTCCATTTATTTCTGTCATAGTAGTTCATACTGGTCTTCTACAAAGAGGCATTTTATAATCCACCTCACTTCACAATTTACTTGGCCTAGTTAGACAATGTCTCGTGATACATACCGTATTGTAATTAACGGGTACTGAAGAGTTATGATTTTTGAACGAGCGCCTCATCTCACCCTTACCTGACCTAATTTCATCGTCTACGATTTCAGGCCTGGAAGCGTGGTGGCCAAGTACCGAATAGCCTGGCAGTTCAAGGACGGGATACATAGCCCCAAAGATCCTATAGACGAAGCTGCTTTGAAAAGAAAGATTACTGATTCATTGAGGCGGAATAATGACCTCATGGGAGACTATCACATCCCTGATGAATCTATCAAGGCCAGCAGAATACTGGATCTCTGCCAGATTGAGAACAATGGCTGTGAACATCTCTGCTTCTTTGATTACGTGAATCTCGACTTTATCTGCACATGTCCTGATGGAAAGCGGTTGAAGGCTGATATGAAGACATGCGAAGATGATGCGGAACCAGCTGATTTCGATTTTGGAACCTTTCATGACTATGCATTGAACGATGCTGAAGAACCACATCGTCAACATCAAGCAGGAGATGAGGTTCATACGACTATAAGACCCGAGCAAGATGGACATCAGTACGTTAATGAGCCCAGGCATATGTCTGATCATCATGGTGTCATCTATGCTCAACCTGAACCAAGTGCGGAACCAGAGCCAAGTGCAGAACCAAAGCCAAGAGCGGAACCAGAACCTAGTCCAGAACCAGAGCCTAGTGCAGAACCAGAACCTAGTGCGGAACCTGAACCAAGTGCGGAACCAGAACTTAGTGCGGAACATGAACCAAGTGCGGAACCAGAACCAAGTGCTAAGCCAGAACCCAGTGCGGAACCTGAACCAAATGCTATTCCAGAACCCACTGCAGAGCCCGAACCCAGTCCAGAATCTGAACGAGGCACTAAGCCTGACGCAAACGCTGTAACACAACTTACATCGCAACAAGAGCAAGGTATATAGTCAAGATAAATATATAGTCAAGACTCATTTCGTGACATTAAAATGTAAAAGCTGGGAAGCTATATATGCGCACAGAAAGAAGTAATGCCACAAATTCCAATAAAAAGTGTTTTCTTTACGGAAAGACGGGCCACCAAACGACGCTTCAGGAGATTGGTTTTTCTAAATAACTATTAAACGTAATTTTCAAATTCAACGAAATGTTATTGGGAAGAAGTTACTTATTATGCGGATTTTATCTCAAATATTCAAAAAAATTTAATCCAGAACGACTGGTTTGACAAAATTTTGTTAAGTAATCCAATACGTGGAATACATGTAATTACTGTCTTCAAATATTCAAAAGGCGTTTCAAAAAGGCTATGGTATTAAAGTATTTATCTTCCTTCTTCTGTAGAGATGAGAACATCTCAGTTTCTACGCCACTGCTGTGTGTTGAATTACGAAAATTTTTCCTCGTTTTAATTTACACTGCATGTAAAAATGTCCAGGTTACTTTTTTATGTACTTGGTTCGCTAAAAGTTCCCCTATTGTTTTTGGCCCTGTAGCATGTAATTAAATTTGTTCAGCTCCTGAGCCCCAATCGGAACCAAAACCCACTGCAGAACAAGAGGCAAAAGCAGAGCACGAACCACAAGCAGAACCAGAACCAAGCCCTGAGTCAGGAAATTCTGAGGAAGGAGAGGATATACATTTGGTAGTTGCATCGAAAAACAGTTCTACATCTGGAACTACCACAGAGCAAAGTTCAGAGATAAAAGGAATGGTCAGCTCAGAAAACGCCGAACCGAATTCTGAATTTCACTCCGTTACCGAACCAATGAAGACTGATGAAGAGCATGGTACCACGAGAATTATCTATTCCAAACCGAAAATGGAGCTAACTTCTTCGGAAGAAAGTACCGAAGCTTTCTCAAAGAGCGAAGTGCAGCAAAGTGATTTTTACTACCCAAACGGTAAGCATCACTATACTCCATAAATTAATTTTCTACATGTTTTCGTTAGTAAAATCTCAAATCTTTATATGTTTTTTCATTTAACGGCCAGGAAACGTGGAGTTCACCATGAAAACCATAGTACAAGTTACAAACATTCTCCAGAAATTGTTTCTCAAACTGACCGCATATTTATGATTAACCTTTTACTAGCATCTTGGCCGCCTCAGTGGAGATTCATTAGCATGAATACCATAGGATATGTTTCAACTGTTACATTGATTTTTATGTTTACACGTCTTATAGTCCTGGATTATAATAGTATATTACTCGACAGTATCGAGAATGTAAGGGTTGTCACACATCAGGTTTCTCAACTCCCTAAGAGAAGAGAAGTCCAAATCAACATCCAAACTTAGTTTGATACCCCTTACTCAGATATCATATTACATTATTTTTTTAGCAGGTGTTGTGAAAGAGTCGAGCACGTCAAAGGAAACCATCCCAGATATGTCTACGGAATGGATAGATGTAACCACTACAAAGAAAGAAGACCACGAGAAGATGCTTCTCACAGTGCACCAAACTACCACTGAGCATCACAACGACATACAGGCAGACTCTAAAGACTCCTCCAGTTCAAGTGACCAGTCAGTGTTAGGAGTGATCAAGATTGTAACTCCACCAGCTGAAGTGAAGAACACGTCACCACAGTCATCGAACGAAGACGAAACAACGCAATTTCCAGACCTCACGAATGGAGTCAACTCTACTTCTACTGAAAACTCTATGCACAATGAATTCCACGTGCACAGCACTGTAGATAGTGAGCGTAGGAATACATCCAAGGTGGTGAGTGGTAGCTTTGTCCACCAAAATGATCATTACATGAACATCAGCGAGGTGCATCGAGAACCGAAGATTCAAGGTAAAGTATCTTTTTTTTTCTCATTGTGATTCAGAGCTCAAAGTAAGAAGTATTCTTTGTAATAACTTCATTACAAGTATTGTTAGAAGTTTTTTTGTACCAAAAGGATCAAGAAAAACTTTTTAGTCGAAGGGATTAAGCCACAACACTTTCTTTTCGTTCGGCTCTCAATCTACTAACCATGTTAACGCATGATCAAAAAATTCATTTTGTGTCTTCAAAGATTTTTGGTGCCGTATCTATCGTCAATTTTTAGTTCTTTTCTTAATGCATTTTTTTATATCCAGTTACTATCAAAGTTGAACTAAAAACGTCAGGATTTGTGATACCGAATCTGCCGCACAGGCAGAGGCCTAAATACCAGGGCACCGCGGCTGCTACGAGGAGCTCAGAGAAACTTTGTTATTGCAATTTTTGACTTGCCTAGGAACAAAGGAGCGGTTGTATCGGCCAGTTCTGGATGTTTGAAGTTGGGTACGGTTAGGATGTGGGTCTGTCTGGCAGACGCATTACGCAGTGGCATCATGGAGAAGTCAGAAAAGCTTGACCGCCGACGACCCGTCGTGTCGGTGCGAAAGGGTCCCGAGGGTGTCATTTAGAGACAAAGTATCGAACACCCCTCCTCTGAACAGCATCGCGCATGGGTAGAGTGTAGTCGGGGGCGTCAGCACCCCAAACATGAACAGAAAAGTACTTCTTAGCCATAAACAAATAGCCTAGCTTTTTCCCATCCGCTTTGTGTTCATGTCAAATCTGGACTCCAACCAGCCGAACTGAGCGGCTCTTTGGTAGATCTTGACCATCCATTGGAACCGGATGAGCACTAGGGCGCTTCATATTAGTCACCGTGTCACTGTGTTTTGGAAGCATTAAACTGTACCAGATTGTTGCATCCCCAAGCTGTGATAACCTCCAGGTTTTTGGTTAAAGAGGAAGCCGCTGCTAGTTGCCTTTTCTCCAGCTCACCGGCACTCTAAGCTCCTGGATGTAGAGTGCTGTCATCAGCAAAGCTGTGGATCGGATTGATCCTAGGGAAAAGGAGGTCGTTGATATGTAAGAGAAACAAGGTCGGAGCCAAGGGGAACTCCCGCGTTGACATTGTGAGATGAAGAGGAGAAACAGTCAGATAACTTGCGGCCAGAAAGGAAGTTAGTCATCCATCTGCAAAGCTTCTCCATACCATACTGCCTGTCACTGATCAAGCCGTGCTATTCGAGATACTCCAGACGCTCCCTATTTATGCACCTCTCCATCGCCTTGCTTATAACAAAAAGCAGAGCTATCGGCCTTGCAGTCTTAGATTATTTATTTGTTTTCTGGAAAAGTGCTGGTTTGGTGAGATATCTGAAAGAGATGCGAAAGAACTGCAGCAAGCGTTGTATATCTCTTCAGTATAGCGGCAGGAATCAAGTCCCGACCAGAGGCTTTGTTGATATCGAGCGACAAGACCACCTGTCTTACGGTCTTGTGCCTGAATGTTACTTCCCGCATAGTTTAGGAACCCTTTGTACCGATTACACCCGGGTGTTGGTAGGAACGTCCATGGTGGAGTTGACAGCAAAGATCTTGGCAAGCAGTACCGCCTCAGCCCTTAACTCGGTAACAGTTGTTCCATCCTGGAAGATAAGCGGTGGAAGGCTGTTCTTTGGGGAGTTCCGTCAAATCTGCTTAGCCAGCATCCAGAAACACCGACTGCCATTGCGCCGCGACATTTTCCTGTGCCTAATTTTTCCATCGCGATACCCTTTAGCATTGCGACCGCTTCGTTATATTCGTTTCTGGACTCGACGTCGGCTTGTCTGTTCTCTGCTTCATGAACATACGTCTAGATAATAAGAATACTGCTGTGAAAGACGAAAAGTACATCAGACCATTTATCAGCTTCGTAGGACACACAATTTTACCATTTTCTAGCGTCTAAAATTAATGTTACCTCCCGTTTTCATAGTCTGATTACCCGACATTATTTATGGGCAGCGCATTAACTATTTCTCAGTTGATTCAGAAATTGTATTTGTACTTGTATCCAGAGGTTATATGGTTTCATAAATATGAAATTTGAATTCACTCTCTTTAATTTTCAGAACTACACTTCATCGAGACCACAACAAGCAACAACTCGTCTCATGAGCACGACTCCACGGACACCAGTCCGGACCACCTACCAGAAGAATACATGTCTCCCTTCCTTCCTGAATTGGACAATGACACTTTTGTGAACTCCCTCCATCTAGACGAACACTTCATCGACCACAATCCCCCAACTGCTCAGGATTTGGGAGAAAACATCACCGCGACCAAACCGCCGACATTGGAGTATGACCAATTGAACAAGACGAATCCGTTTGACAGCCATACCGAAGATGCTTTGAACATATTGCCTTTGGCGCCTGTAGTGAAAGAAAATGTCACTGGAGATACGACAACTAATGAGATAACTACTATAATACCAGAGAGCATAAACACCACATCATCCAGAGAACTGCTCGATTTGGACAATGTGACCTACACTTCTGAATTAACAGATACAAAAGCATCCACTACGATAGTACCATCCAGTCAAAATGAAACTGTAACCCAAATAATCACAGTCATAGACGGTCGCGGAAATAATACTGTTATACCAAAAACAGAAGAAATCATCACTACAACAGAAGAATCTACTACGGACCACAAATTGACTTTATCGCAAGGTGAACTTTTTGCTAGTACCACAGAAGCAGAACCAAACACCACGATGCAAGCTACGACAAACAGAAATGAAAATAATACTGAACATAGTACAGAGATCGTTCCTGATGTAGTAACTCCACCTCAACAAGAAACAACAACGATGCTGAGGATGGAGACTACATTACCTCATGAGATACTCAACAACGTCCATAGCAACAGCTTCTTTGACCAATACGCAACTCGTAGAGTGCCTGAGATCAAAGAAACTACAACGGTGACACTACACAATTTAATGTCAGAGAATTCTACAAGTAGGATCATAGATGACAGTACAGAAGACCTTATTGCTTTAGAAACAACTACAAATACTCTTAAGCATGGCGAATCAAATCATACTGAAGCAAGCGTCAGTAATAGTACCATGATGCCAATGATTCCACACACTACCGAAAAAGTAACTGTGGAAACAACTACTAGGGTAGTTAACGAACAGTCTGTAGGCTCTGTAACAAATAATATCAGCGAAACCAACAAAACTGCTGATGAACTAAGACTTTCAACGACAATTGAACAATCTACCATTGTAACCATGGGCAAAAATTTTTCAGCAACTGAAAACGAAACTACTACACTGGAACAAACTACTTCTGAAGTAAGTGATAGTACTACCATTCAATCAGTCGTTACGATGCAATCCATGGAATCATCAGGAAGCCAATCTTCATCAGAAGAAAACGCTAATAAGTCTAACGAAAATGAAATTTACGAAAAATCCACCAAGCAATATCAAGTCAAGGAATCTAGTGAAGACTTCACAACAACTGAAAGGTTATTCTTGACACCAAAACCTACTAATGGTTCAACACATGAAGACTTAGCTGTGATACCATTGCAAAAGGAAGTTGTCAATCTCAGCAGACTTGATAAGAAGAAATATGCATTCGAACAACTCATCGGATCCTCAGAAACTACCAATGACATTTCAGATGAGAAGAACGATTACAATTTGAAGGGCACCTACCTGACTAATAATGAGGCAAGATCGTTTAGCGACGTAAAACCAGTAACTGAAAACTTTGAACTGCCTAAATTTTCACGGTGTTCGGCTGGTCAGTTCCAATGTATGAATGGTACATCTGTAAAGGATGGTAGCTACTGCATCATGATGAATGATAGATGTGATTCTTCTATGGACTGTACAGATGGTTCGGATGAGTCGAATTGTACTCAAGAGGGTTGTCTCAATAATTTCCAGGTGAGTATTTATTGGTCACCCATTTATCAATAATCAAGTTATAGACATACGGTGGGATTTTTTAACCGATGTGACTATATTTCACTCAACTCCGGCAATTGGTCAAGTAACATCTTAATAAAAAAGAATAACGCTTAAGAATCCACAAGTTTTATCCACTTTTTTGAATGTGACTTCTGCAAAATTATGTCGGTAAAATAAAACTACTGACTGTCTTCTGCTTTATGTGTAAAAGAGACTTGTCCAATTGACACTGGAAAGGAGAAAATATCTTTCTTTTTGGAGTCTTTGATGACTTTTTTTGGACATCCTTATCGCATGCTTACTAAAAAAGATATAATTGGAATGATTTATTAAGATGTAAAACGCAACCATATTTCCGAAGTAATTCTAATGCAGAAGCTTCACCTTTACTCCTACGAAAGTTTGTATCGCGAAAGTAATTCCTCACCAGAGGTTTGTGTCACGATTATTTTATTACTGAGGATATTCCATCAACAATATGCTAGATTCTTAAAAAGTCAATATGATGTTGAATCACAATATTAGATTGGATGGGTCAATGGATATGAATTAATGTATAATATTTATTTCCAGTGCGGCAGTGGTCAATGCCTGAAAAGACACCTTGTATGTGATGGAATCATCAACTGTAATGATGGCAGTGATGAGCAGAATTGCGGTAAGTAAGAGCTAATTCAGTATGAGGTCTGTAAATTAAATAATGAGACCTGCAACGTAGCCGGGCTTGGAGTAAAGAGTGTGAACTTGCTTCACACATTTGGTTGTCCGTAGCAATTTTTCTTTCTTAGTTCTAAAAATGGACGACATCGATTTCGAGTGCTATCAGGTTTTGCTTCAGACTTGGGCGTTGTGCAACGAAAACTCTTGCTAAGCTTCAGCTGGCCTACGAAGATAGTGTTTTGTCAAGAGCCCATGTTTTTCGGTGCTTTAAGGCATTTTCTGAAGGTCAAGAGTCGATTGAAGATGAACTACGAAGTGGAAGGTCTTCATCTTCAAAACTGATGAAAATATCGACAGTATCCGAAATCTTGTGTATTCAGATCGTCGGTTCACAGTCGGAATCTGCGCGAAAATAGTTCTAAAAGATCTTTCGCAAGACATGAAGAAGGAAGGTGCCTTGACTTTTTGGATTCGATTGAATTTTCTTGAAGGTGGCAGTACTGGTGACTAGTCTTGGGTGTTTGAGCACGACTCAGAAACCAAGCACACTTCATCCTATTCAAGGCCCGAAAAAGCAATAAAGACGAAGTCAAAGATCATATGCATGCTAATTTGATTATTTTTCGATATTCACGGAATCATCCACAAAGAGTTTCTACCTCAAGTCCAAACAGTCAATCAATACTTTTAGCGGAGGTTTTTGAAATACTTCGAAAAAGGGTCATTCGTGTTAGAGCAGACATTAAGAACAACTGGGTGTTGCATCACCATAATGCTCCTTGTCACACAGCACTGTCAATAAATGAGTTTTTGCCCAGTAAAAACATTCCTGTGACTCCTCAACCTCATTATTCGCCTGACTTGAGTCCTTGTGACTTTTTTCTCAACCCGAAGTTGAAAAATCACCTCATGGGGACTCATTTTGGGGAAGTCGAAAACATTAAGTGGTAGAATAGCTCATGCTAAACTTCGCCCAATAAGGACGTTTTATTATTATTATTATTCAAACGGCTGTAACCGACCACCCGAAGGCTATTCTAGTATCAGAGTTCCAGCTCTGCTATGGGGAGTGGAAGAACCAGCTCCAGCGTGTGGCTTCAGAATGAAGGTATTTAGAGGGTCACAATATACAATTGTAATTATATTTGGATAAAAAAAAATAAAAAAGTCAGTCTTACTACTTAATTTGCAGACCTCGTATATCAATAATTAGAATTCAGTATCTGACTGTGGCTTACGATATTTAAACATAGCAGCTTTATCATGCTACCTTCAGGCCGATTGAAAAGAGAATGATAATATTTTTTCAGGTAACTGGACATGCAAGTCTGATGAGTTCTCCTGCGGCACCGCAAACAGATGCATACCGTTATCCTGGAAATGCGATGGCAAGAAGCATTGCAGTAACGGAGAAGATGAAAAGGACTGCAATTCTCATATTTGTACTGATGTGTCGTTCCTTTGCTCGGTGCAGGGTAGCTGTATACCGTCCACGTGGAGGTGTGATGGAAGGAGGGACTGTACTGATGGAGAAGACGAAAAGCTTTGTGGTAAGTGTCATTTATGGAAAGAAAGAGAAGGGGTACCAGACAAAAGACAGACAATGCGACTAAAATTAGAGGTAGATAGAGTAAGCGAACTAACTTAAAGGGAAAAGATAACCACGTGTTACTGTTTATCGAGAGACAGATGCGGTGTTGCCAGATACATGAGCCCATTTAGAAGAATTTATTATTCATCAATTAGAGCGGAAGATTTAACCATTTTTCAAATTTAATTTTTTAGACCCCATTTACATCCCTTTGCAGTCTACTGAATGTATCTTTCATCCAATGTGTACATTGCACGTTGAGAAATATAGGGAAAACCAAATTTGTCTGACTACGTGTACTAGAGGGAAGCGCAAGGTGTATATATCAACACATGCTAGAAAGAGATAGAAGCCGGCTAAAGAGCGAAGGTCATCACCATAATGCCTAGCGACGGTGACGCAGAAGGTGGTGCAATTTGCCGCATTACCAATATGTTACACCAGAAAATGTTCGCACAAACCTCTACATTTAATATCTTGTTTATATTTTGATTAGAATTATTTATTTGAAGTTTGATGCGACTGTTTCAATTTATTTTAGAATTAACTTTGATTGCCGCCGATGGTGATAAAATCAACACCTGCTGAGTTATTCGCTGTCGCAAATGTAACAAATACCATTACGCAATACAAATCACTGTTTGCGTGTACGCAGGTGAAAACCATTTCGAAGCAGGATTACACACCCCAGTGATCGCTAGATCGCTCATCTATGATCACGAAGTTTCAAACCTTGTCTTGGAATGTATGAGATGCGGTGTCACCAAGCGAACCAATGCAGATTTCAATTGCATTGATTGCAGTATCCTCTATTGGTATGATTAACCACTATTTGGTTTCAGTATTTCGAAAGTGGATTGTAAAAATTTGTGGGGGTTGTTAAATTGATATTCCTTTAGATTTCGTCCTATTGTCTCTTAACACCTCCATATCAGCTAGCCCCAAATCAAAAAGAATGCTGTTTCTTTTCCAGCTCATTCTATGTAACGATTTAAACTAAGTGGAAGTGGAACCAGCCTGGCTTATGGATACGTATATTGATTGATCTTTTTTGCAGAATGTCCTGCAGACCAATTCAAATGTCAACTTGGAGGCGGGTGTATACCATCATCCAATAGATGCGATGGAGTTGAGCAATGTGCGGATAGGTCTGACGAGTGGGACTGTTTGGTACTCAAACCTCTAGATAATGTTACTGAATCTAATGGAAAAGTGGTATTGCAGGTAAATTAAAGTATTATGATTAGCATCGACTCTCAAGGGCACTACTACTACTCGTAGAAAAGGCTATTTGAAATTTCATTAATGTAAGAAATAGAATTAATAATTGCGGATCCAGTACTTCTAAAATCCATAACATTTTTGACAGAGAGCTTCTTAAAAAAATATATATTTTAACGGTCTACAATTTCGAAATGCCCTTGGATACATCTCAAGCTCACGACTTTGGTATTAAGGTTTCATCTTTACGTCTATTTGAATATAACAAATTTATCTTGTTTTATTTCAGAAACGATCATCCAACAACACTTGGCATCCTGTGTGTATGGACTGGGCTATATGGAATACCTCCTATGCAGATTTAGCTTGCAGACGTCTGGGATATGTTGAAGCTGCGACTTTAGAGTCAGTTCCCAAACCAAGTGGATTAAACGAGACTCTGTTCTACAAATTGGAGTTTGGTACTTCGATCAGGTCATCAGTGCTACAGTTTGAGAATGCTACAGAAACTCAATGTGACCAGTTCGTATCTCTATCTTGTGAGGCCTATGGTATGAATGAATTTATTTTATCAATTCTGTCGATATGCACTTTGTTCAGGAAGTTTCACCAAATCACTTTAGTACAATTATTCACAGATCTCTGCTTCGTACAGAGCACTATAGCAAATCCTTTGTATACAGGGGGTCCCATTCTAATCTCCCCACCCCAATAACATATTACCAAAACGCATCCTAGAAAAAAATAAAACAAAACCTGTAATGGTGATTTTAAGGTCAATTGAACTTTTTCAATTATATCTCCATTTTTTACAAGGGACTATAACCATCGCCATGACCTTAATTATTTTCTCCAAGGCCATTTCAAGGTCTAATCAAGATGTCGAAAACAATTTGTGCTAGTAAAATGCATAGTTGTGACGTTTGTATCACCCAAATGTGATCTTACCATCAACCTCCAAGTTAAGGCAAAATTTTCAAAAGAACCCTCTCATTTTACTGGTAATGGAAAAGCCTAGAAACTGTACGTGCGAGTGTCACCTTGACCAAAATATCAAGGTCATGTCAAATAACATAACAGGTCACAGTGGGACGTAAAATTGTCTGCTTTTTGCATTTCCAGTATAAAAATCAGAGGTTTCTTCTGGAAATGTCGACTTGAGCTTGAAGGACATGGTCTCGGTCATGCTCAAGGTCGTGATCAAGGTCATATTTGGAAGATCCTCACAAACCTCAAAATTGTGCCATCGAACATGTTTGCTAGAGCAAATTGTTTTCATCAGAATGGTCCTGGTGGGTCATAGTGAAAATCATTACCATGATGATATTTGGACGTAAGATATCTTCCTCTTTTAAATTTTGATCTGAACAAGGGAGGGTTCTATTTGAAAATATTTACTTGACCTTAAATTGACCTTCATCATCATTTTGCTTCCTCGAAACCCTACAACTTTTGTTTCTAGAATGCACAGTTTTACAAATATTTAGGGGGAGGATTAAACTGGGACACCATGTATAAAGACCTACTAACCTCCAGTGGCGAAACTACTACATAAATAATATTTTTTTGTAGTTTGTGGCAGTCCGTCGGCTCAGGAAGCCCCTTCAGGTCCCATCATCGGAAGAGACAAAGCAACACCTTCACAATGGCCCAATTTAGCATTGGCCTACAATAAAATGCACAATATCTATTGCACCACAACATTATTATCTCCTTATTGGGCCATTGGAAGCTATTCCTGTCTAATTGCCAAAGCTCCTAATGCGAGCAGTACTGACTGGATCTTGACGGCAGGAAGTACGCTAAAGACTGATAACTCTAGTAGCCAAGTGAGACTGGTGAAGAATTTAGTGTCACATCCACAGGTATGTATATTATATCATTCTTATGAAAGAAGATACAGTGTTTGCTATAGCCGTGCTTCCATATTTGGTTCTTTCAGGTGAAATTTGACCAATTTGAGTACAATCGTGATGCAGTTCTCTTGGGGCTATCGAAACCAATGAAAATCAACTCCAATGTGAGCGCAGCATGTCTTCCAGATGAAGATATCCAACCTAAACAGTTATGTATCGTCACTGGATGGGAAGCCAATAAACCTGGAGGTAAAATTAAATTTTCATTCCTGATATGTAGCACCGGAATCCTGGTGAAATCGTAATATTATATTCCGATAATATTATGTTTCAGATATGAAAATGCAGCAATATCTGCACTATCTGCCTGTACCAGTCATCAACTCTACTGAATGCAACTCCACGAAGCATTACAATAGCAAAATGAGCTCTGACAAAATCTGCGCTGGATATTTGGAGCCAGAAAAAACACCATGTTATGTAAGTAAAAAAAATAACATTAAGCTCTTATATCATCGTTATCTTTTTGCTTACTTTTCAATTAAGCTTATACAAGTGATAAAAGGCTACTTATAAAAAGTGTAGTCAATGTCAGAAAACATACCGCCCTGGACAATAAATCATACAGATGTTGAATAAGTCCGTTTACTAACCATCACGAAAAACATACTACCCATTTTCATAATTTCATCTGTCGTTTGGTGTTTGATGTCATCTGTCCGGTAATATTTATCCACTGGATAAAACGAAAAGAAGGAGTCGTTAAACGTTGAGCATTTCTTAAGGCTTTTGAGTTTTCCAGAAGATTTTTTGATGTTATATACATCACTTCAAACCATGTTACTTATTTCCGTCGGTCTGAATTTTAAAAGCAATAGGTAAAACTGATGTTATCCCTATTTATTTCTTTCGGTAATTTTACATCCTGTGCCTATGTCGAGGAAGTATTGTGTGAAGACTCTGTCGGTCTATCAGCTAATCCTTGACCGTTCTATAACTCGGACTTCCAAGCAAGTTTTGCAGTTTTTGAAAATCGCTCCAGTGACGGCGTAGCTGCAGGCAAAAATGAAAACAAAACGGTCAAACTTCGTTTTTAACGTTTTAGAGGCCTTTGATCATTCATATATTATTTTTTAGGGGTTAAAATTGGGGATTAGGGGTTATATGGATGGGGAAGCATACATCTCAATTTTTTTATGTTAATGTTTGATGCTGATAATCATATGATACATATATCACACATCATAGATTTCCCGATACATTTGTCCTTAAAGCAGAAAAATATTCCAACAGACGCATCGCATATCGGTTGCGGTCGCACGGCAACCTATATGCACAAAGTCTGCGCCTCATCGCTCACCGCAGGCAGCTCTTTACCTTTTCGGTACCTTTGTACACTACAATAATTCACTTCAGTATATTAACTTTGAAATATATCTATTGCAGAATGATGAGGGAGCACCTCTAATGTGCTTCTCAGAACAGAGCCATTCTTGGGAGCTGAGAGGGCTCCTCAGTCACCATGACAACTGTGGCAACCAAAAGCATCCAGCGTTATACACAGTGGTGGATGACAACATGAAGTTGTGGATATCGAATACCATAGGCAGGCAAGCGTTCCTGAAAGCAGACTGATCGTGTGGCTATTAGAGTGATGAAGTATGTGAAAACGTGAGAGTGTTGCTCAAGATCTTGAGTTAGCTCCGTGGCAGATAGTGTACAAGGAGTGTTACCAGAATAGTTAGTGATCGGATCATAAACATATGAATGGAAAGATATTTTTGAGATACAGTACCTCATTCCGAGGTCAAAACATTATCCTACTACGTCCCCTTCGCTTGGAGCGATCGCTTTGCCGACGCCTCTCACTACTGAAATGTCTTTCCATTCGTATACAGTGCTTTTCAGATAGGTACCCGTGCCTTACCTAATTTTTTGTCGGACTCAACTTAGCTAGCTGAAATTTGGGATGATGAAATTGACACATGAATACTATGCTTAAATATAAAATAGAAGTTCAAAATTTCAAGATGGCGACTGGGCGCCACCTTGTAACACATTTTCAAGTGGAATTTGTCATACCTAGTTGTGAAGCTTTTTTTGATTTCTTTACCACCTTAGAATACAAAATCACTATCTCTTAAAATGGTGGACTGGTAGATTTTCAAACTTGTTTTGTATATTAAATCGCTTATAAGTTAAAAACTAATTGTCAAAACGATATAGTATATTGTATTAACCTTTTTTATTTGGAATATTCTTATTCGAATGTGCAGTAAAGTATGGAACCTCTTTTAATAGTATTTTGTTTTTAAATGCATATTCGGGTAGACCCTCACAACAAAACAAAATTGACATAACATACGTTTTAATCACTGGTTTTTGAATTATTAGCGACTCAATGTACAAAATCGCTCAGCCTCGACAACCTTATAGTTCAACATCTTCAAAGATGATGATTTTATATTTTAGGGAATAGAGTACCCATAAGGAGCTTCAGAATGGCGTTTAGCTGCCAACTTTAAAGTTTCAACTGTCACTTTTACGCTAAAATGCATGCAACAATTTCATTAGCATCAGTTTTATCTTGCTAACTTGAACCGTCCAAAAAATAAGAAGAGGACTTTCTGAAATGCACTATAATGTCCTGTACATTTTCTGTAACAAAAGGTCCCTTAGATTACAACTTATGAAACATGTATTTGTTAAACTGTCTCAAAGCAATTGTAGATATAGATATGTTTTAACAAGCCTTCTGTAAGAGGGATATCACTGTAAATATTAGGTAGGGAATAAAAACAAATAATTTTAATTAAATAATGACATTCACTTCAGGATGCCTAATTTTATATTCATTTCTTCAATATTATGAAAAGGGAAACAATAAAAAAAAATTCGTGTAAACGCATCCTGATGTGAGTAGAATTATATTTTTGTTTACTACACAAGTATAATTTACTTTTGTTACGTTGCGCGTCCAGTGTACTTTTAATCCATTGTCAAAGTGGCCATACACTCTAAAGCAGTCTTTTAAAGCTTGTTCAGCAAACATTTTTGTACTATGATAGTCGCTTGCCTATGTGATAGATATGTACAAGGCTAAACCGTCAGGTTAAGGGATAATTGAACGATTCCGCACAATTTCCTGCAACAACTAGAAATCAGTGTGTATACAGGTACAAAATAAGGAAACCTTGTGCAAGAAAAATAAAGCAGACTATGATGTCCGTAAGCAAACGACAACGAAATTAATTTATCAACGATGTTAAAGCTGTGGTTCGAACGTGATCGTACTTTGAGCTTCGCATTGATGGACTCCCAGTTATATAGGCAATACACTGAGCGAATTTAAGAAAGAGTTCCTCGGATAACCCACATTTGCAGCAAACACCGATGGCAATACTATGTTCACATACATAGGGGAAAGTCAGATATATTGTACCGGGTATTTAAATTGTACCACCCAAATATTTGCTGAATTGTAGATTTCTAACACCATCTAGTTAGCTTATTTGATGCCCCTTGGCATCAAAATATATCTGACCAAAACTTATAACCGTGAAATTTTCTGGTTTCTGTTAAGCAGAATTGCGCAGTGTCATATAATCTTAGATAAGCCCTTGTATCCAAATATTCACTTTCTGACACTCGAGGTGGCACTAACAATAAAAATGTAATGCTTTTTGGTAAGGCACACTTCACAAACCGCGTGGTACAACTTAACAAACCGGTTTGATAAATTGTACCAATTCCAACACTTTCGTAACACATTCAATGGTAACGGACTTTTTGTACATTGTCAGATTTTCTTGTAGAAGTTAAAAGGAGGTTCAGTGTCACCAGTAACTGACAAACCGGTCAATGTGTTGAAAAGTCAGCTCCTACTATTTACATGAAATTTTTAAAGTATCATTCAATCCAAACGAGTGTTTAAATGATTATTTCATACAATATGCGAAATGGTACAATTTACCCAACTTTACCCTTGTTTCACTGGCTAGGAATTGTAACAATGAAATATATTGAGGTTCAGATGCAGAAATGCAATAAATCGCTTAATAACATTGGTAGATAGTATGAATCAGTACAACAAGCTCTGTCTACACATCCGCCAGAGTTGTGCGTCAGATGACAGCATACTTTGATTATTACCAGATAATCATGGCAAGACATATAGCAACGTCAAGTATTCGGGTGGCTAATCTGTTTCAAGCCTGCTATATCCTGTATCGCTATATTTATATTGATCATAATTATATTATGGCCTATGATCAGTTGTAACTTTAGGGCATCTGGTGAAAGGTTTGATTCCAGTTTCGTGAGGAATCACCTAGGAGTGGTGCCATAAAATAAAAATTAAAAGCCCGTTTATACAGCAATTAGATGATCATCACAAAAATAAATAATGATTTACGGCTGTAATTTGGGAATTTTCTTGCAAACGTTAGTTTGCTATATTTTTCGTAGACATGATAATTGCAAAGTAGTCATCATGTCATGTCCATCAATGGCTAAAACATAAATGCTAAATGGCGATGCAATTTGTTTATTGATATTATCACGTTAGGCATCAGTTTTGACTGATGCAAATTTGTTTCTTGGAATTTTTGAAGTAGTTTTAGTTATACCGATGTCAAGTTGTTTCTATTAACTAATAAATTAAATATACATTTATGTTCAAAGTGGTGGCACGGAAGTTGAACTTAAAAACAATTTAAAAAGGATTACTTATCAGCCCAAAAATTTTGGGATTCCACTTTACGTCTTTTGTAATAGCAATGTATACTATGCACTGTTTTGCATTTGGATTGTTTGTATATATCTGATCATAGTGTTAGGTGAGTTTTTTAAGAAAACAATACCATTATTTTTTGTTGTGTGAACATTTTGGTATTTTTAGCTATATTTTCGTTCAAATACAAGAAATGAGTATATGAAATTTTGAACTGCAACACCCTATAAAAGCCCGAAATATCGTCACTTGCAGACATGGGTGGACAATGGAAATCTGGATCACAACTTTCTTATCTTGTACTTTAAAAAAGTCGTATAATTACTGGCGGCAAAAAAACTGTGATTTTGATTTTTACATAAGCACAGACGTCCTTTGTAATTTGAAAAGGACATCAATGTCCATATAATGACTATATCCATGTGAGCTTTACTATACATAGTGTTTCTGAAGATATTCATATATCAGAAATTATTTCAAATATAACATGAATAGTTTCCATAAACATGGATCTCAAAATTCTGGTTTATCAAGATTACAGGTTGAAACAAATGTTCTTATAATACCCTCTTCAGTGGCTTAGAAATATATCTTGCCACAGAAATATTTTAGAACCTGTTTTTATAAGAAATTTCATACTACTTTTCTGCTTCAGAAATTTGCTGTTGATCAAGTCATCCTGTATATATTGTCGGGCCAGTGATTTCAAAGCCAAACTTGTTCCACTTTCGCAATTCGTGTTGTTTGCGTTAGCACAAAGTAATTTGTCCTTATGCAGTTAGCACGGTCAGTGTTTTCATTAGGTTAATGACAACTCTGACTGTCGCTTGACAATAATTTTCTAGTTACACATTTATAATAACCACGCATTACCGTCCCATGTTTGTGGTGTTCAATTACATATTCTGAAAAATTACAATTACATACATTTCTATACCACACGACCTTTATTTTTTATGATTATAGTTATTATGGTTGTATTATAGTAGCGTTGATGGATTTTTTTAACAAGGATGTTAGTAATGAAATTAAATTTTATAGTATTTTCATGAGGAAGTTTACTGATGTGGCTGTAAACACAAATATCCTATTTAATATTTTTGAGTTGAATAATTTGATGGATCATAATTAAATTTAATGTGCGGTTTGTATCCTGTCATGGAATAAAGTGAGACGTACGTAGTTTTGATGAGAAATATACGGTAATAGTGTGTAAATTAAATTATTTACATTAAAACTTTGGTACTCCAAACCGTTTACCATAAACTGCCAAGAAACACAAAAATTGCACTGTGCATTTCATACTAAAAATTACTTATAATTTTTGCAATATATTTTTCAAGGATGCTGTAGCATATCATCGTTTTCTATTTCTTGTGCTGGAAAAACGTAACACGTAACTCATACAGTCAATAGTACTTCACAACTTGCGAAAATTGCTCACTTAGACTTTGGAAAGCCATTTTTTACACTTCACACTTTTCGTTCGTGAAAAACTGGAAACTGTAGTTTTCTGAGGCATAACGCTAATATTCCGTCGGAATAAAAACTAACAGAAAAGTGATTAATTTCTGAAATCATTCATTCCTTGTTTTTCGTATATAAAATATACGCCGGTGGAATCCACTTTCTTATATATAATGTTATACAGGAATGTTTGTTATATGTTTAAAATTTAATAATAAGCAGTAAAAGCCGTCCTTTACCTATAATTTGTATATTACTAGTCGGATTAGTGTATGTGCCAAAGGGCATGTTTATGACAGGGATCATGTATATATATATATACTGGAGTACATTTAAAAAATAAACGAGTCAAACGATTTTGCGTGATTTATTTAACCATAACACATCTTTTGCACTTCCTTTCATCCCAAAAGCTTCCGAATATATTATTTTCTCTAGATCTGTCTTACGATACCATCATATTATGTGAAGTTGGGGCTGTCAAAGAATACGATGCGATTGATAAGAATTCGCAACTTTGAAAATGGCAACATTTTTATATATATATATATATATATATATATAAGTACGTCACGAACTTGATGATGCATTGTACATGTTATGTGCCACTGTATACGCGTATACAATTGTAATTGTGTTCGTCTTGATATCCACGTAGACAATACAAACAATATATACGTTACCGGTAATCTGCATAGTTCGGGTATACTATACAATACCTAGGCAATGTATAGAATACCTGGCTAGTTCAGGTATTGTATGAAATATTATGAATATTATTATCATTACATACTTTACCTAGGTAATTAATACAATTCCTAGGGAATGTACAGAGTACCTGCCTTTCCACCGGCAATGTGTAAAATAAATAGATCTTGGTCTAAATGTATCGATGTTAACCGACATACCTATAAAATCATGGGCAAATGAAACAAGAAAAAAAGCACCTTTCTTTATTTTTACATGAGGAACTATCGTGACATTTTGAAGTGCACAAAACCTCCACTGTTTCTTTTACATACATTACCGACTGCGCATTAGGTATTGTATAGAATACCTAGGCAAAGTATAAAACAAATAATATTTCATACATTACCTACACGTTTGAGGCATTCTATACATTACCTAGGTATTATATATAATACCGGATTGTACAGATTGCCGTTAACATATACAATGCATATAATAGTAGATAATTGTTCAACTAGGGCGCTTGCAAGCATACAATGCCTGAAAAAGTGATGTTTGAATAATTAGCGGTGGTATAAATATATATATTCAGTACTCATGAATACAAAGTTATAGTTTTAAATGAATTAGGATTATTCCTAAAATAAGATACAATCTGGTAACAACATCCGCCCATTTTTGTTCAGCTTTGTCAGCATTGTCTATATTCAGATTGACAAGGCTTTAATCGGTCAATCGTCAATTAGTTTCGTCCTGGCATATAAATTAATGACCTGACGGAAAACAATCTTTCTAACTGTGCTGATGAAGCCGGAATTATAAGCCCGTACTTAGGATGATTTATATCCACCTCATTCCGAAATACAATAGGTTTTATTATTTTTTATATAATATCTTTAAAAGCCTTGCCGTGTCGAAACTGTCAATTTACCTTGAGAGTGTAAATTATAAATATTAGGCAAGTAGAAATTGGTGAAATAGCGCCTCAATACAAAAGTTAGCCTATCTGTGCGATTTTAACAGAATATTGTTCTCCATCTATGAGCAAAATAAGCCCTAGTTCATCCATTCTTTATTTTGAGCGCGCTTAACCACACTGTTTTTATCGCTGCCGGTTCACTAATGCTTTGACGCTTGAGAGTAAACAGTAACCTGACTTTTGCTATTCTATACATCTTTGTTTACACCATTGTATATATTGTATACGTATTGTTTATACTGTATATGCATTGCTTACATCATACACGCATTATCTACGCAGACAAAACACAACATGCCCAAAAGCGAGATTGTACATGTCCGTATTTTCCTCAATGGTCTTGTAATAATGTACATAACAAATTAAATGATTATTTTTACAGAACGAAGTGCACATGCTTCTCACAATTCTTTATACGCTGGAAGTACTTGAATCATCGTCCGAATGGTTAATATAAATTATTACAGGTTCTATTTGAATATCATCATATTGTCCAGATCCCACATCATTGTTTGATTGTCTATTGAATGTGTCAGATACAATGTTTCCAAGGGGTTTGCCGTCACTCTGTTGTCAGCTTCATAGAACAAATTTTTCGCGTCAGAAAATTTGAATGCTCTATTGTTTGAAGACACAGTTTTTTGTATTTGCCCAAATCATTTCAATGGGATTTAATTCGCATTGATAAGGGGGTAGCCGTAAAATGGTCTTATTTTGGTTTTTAGCCATGTCGTCAATAACATTATTTATGTATATATTTTCATTGAAACTAGTGTCTTTTGATAGGGGCCATTGTTGAATTTATGCCTTTCTTATTTTTTTTTATATATATCAAAGCAGCCGCTCAGGCAGAAGCCTAAATGATCCGAAAGAAATTTTGTTAATACGATTTTTGAACTGCCTAAAGTTAGTAGAACTGGGAAAAGCTTCATCTTCTAGTTTCTTGTGGACATTGTGGAAATCTTTTCTAGTTTTCTTGTGTGGTATGCACCACTATCAAATACAATGACGGCATTGTCGTCAAGCTTTGGAAACCTTTCTTCAAACCATCGTTCAAATGAACATCCGTCAATTTCTTCATGGTAGTCGGTCGTTTTCTCTGACTCAAATTCCCATTGGGCAGTGGGTACAAAGTCATCTTCACTGCCAATGTGACACATAACAAATCGATTTCCTTTTCCTGGAAATAATTATTTCATATAGTATTCAAGAAAACTAATAGTAATACAAGCAGAGTATCTAACAGGTGTTGGTTCGAAATCTACCAGATATAGCTAAGTATAGCGACATCATTTTTACAACACAAATGAACAATTGGTTAGATAAACGTACCCGACGGATTCCTTAGGCCAGTAGTTGGTCCATCTAAGAAAACTTGTCTTGCTGATTTAATTGTATTCTACTTTAGGTTTTGTATGTCCTGCATGTATCCAGATTTCATTCAATTAATAAATCTTCTTGCCCTGGTTGCGGTATTTATTTATTGACTTTAAACAATTCCTTCTCCATAAAATAATCTCTTGGCTGTCCATCAAAATAAAAAATTAAGTTCTCTGAGTAAACTATAGAATGTGGTCCTTTTGAAAGTAGGTAAGTCTTCACCACTATTAACCTCCTGTAATAATTTGTCTATGGTGGGAAGTTCCTGCCTTTCAAAAAATGTATGGACTTTGCGTCTGATGGTATTCCGATCAAAGTTATCAACTGTATCCAACAGCTTCGCGTAATGCAGCCTCTTGTGTGGTGGAGACAATATTTTTTTGTATATTGTTTTACAATGCTGAAAATTGTCTTAGGACATAAGCCTCTTGTGTTCGCCACACGTCCAGGATGCTCTGAAATTTCGCTCTTATAAACGATAAGGACAATTTCTTTTGCCTGAATTTCCAAATGTCCCTTTTGTCACGTTTTCGGGGAGGAGACATCACTGAAGAGGAAGCATGGCTGAAGGAAGCATTGGTAGAAATATTCTCATTTTCATCTACTGTATTCGTCGACGACATGCTAACGTATAAACACACGTTATGTATGAACCGAATATCAACAGCAACTGCCGTCGTCGGCGTGCCGGCGATACCCCGAGCCCAATAGCAATGGACTACGAATGGGGTATACATCGAATTAATATACAGGGTGACTTTGAAGTTGAGTCATTAATTTTCAGATAATGATTGTAGAAGGAAGATAAACCAAAATATGTGTGTAAAAATAAAAAAAATTAAAAAAAAAATTGTACCTTGTTTTATAAAGTATCCCCCCGACAAGTATTTCAGTGCGGACCTGTATTTGATCGTGAGGTCCCCTGTAAGGTCTTAAGTCACCTGATTCACGAGCCCGTTGTACTACATTAACAAAGGCACGAGGGGTTGGTTGCACTCGATTGGGAAACCGATCCGCATAAACATGTGCCATTTTTTATTTCGTTTGAGCCACGCAACAGACACTATTCACACGTGACTGACACTGACTGTATGTATAACTGAACTGAATAAAATAATTGTAAAAACATCGTTCCAAATTCTTTCGCTTTTTTGTTTCCGATGCGATGAACCGATAAGGCGGATTATATCCGTTGTTGCCAAACACGAGCACATGATATTATTCAGACAGGGCGGTACTCAAACTTCCAAAGGGCTATAACTTGGTTACTTTAATTTTACCAGAAAAATGGTAAAGGAAAAAAACATTTCCTTTGATCAGATCTACTCACTGTTAAAATAAATGACTCAACTTCGAAGTCACCCGTGAACGCACATTACTGGTTTTATGTTAGTAACTATATCGTCAATACACCGATTTCAAAAAATATATTGATAGATCTTTCTATAACTACATAGCATATTATATCTCCTATTTCATCGTCGGTGAAGCAGTTGCTGGCAATATGCGACAAAAGCTACAAAACGACAGATAGACTAAAGCCAACGACATGAATTTTTCGTAGTGGTCATAAAGTCAAAACCTCTGAGAATATTCACCGTTTTTAAGCTTGTTGTTTTGGTAAGTTCAAAAATAACACCTTAATGCATGGAAAGTAATGAGTCAGTGTCCTTAACAGCATACTTCTGTTGGAGAAATATATTTTAAATTTAAATTTTACGGAGACGAGATCATAAGATGAAGAGCATGTATGCTTCGGAAAATGTTTTTTGTGTAAACACTTATATATTTGTATTCTTCCTCTCACAAATAAATGCTTGTGAGCTGCTGCTGTCAAATTATAATGTTGGAAAGGTTACGTTTTGAATTTTTCCATGAAGCGAATATTGGTTTGTTATTGAAAAACGCAAGAACCGAAATCTGAAGGGGTCAATGTCAACAATTTAACAGCATATATCAAATCATTAAGCGCAACCTAGAAGGTCCCAAAATGATGTCCTGTGATGAGATATTTATAATATCTACCTACGCTTGATGAACAAAAGTACTGCCGTGAGAACCTGCATCTATATTTTCATCCAAACAGGTCTCGTTGAACTTGTCCGATTTTTAAGAAGGTGAAATAAAAAATGTTGCTCCAAGGCCCCTTCTTTTACCTTTTTTACAAGCTTTTATTCAACTTGTCTTTCATATATTCAATGGTCAGAAGGTTTGCATTTTTGCTATGGATTTAAATGTTAAAATAATGTATTACCCTTGAACCACATCGAATTGGGAGTACAAAATACACATATAATTTTGGTATAATGTGCAGATAAATACAAGCGAATCTTTTCTGTAGCTGAATGACGAGAAAAGAGTTAAAAGAGAG